TGCAGGTTGGAGTGCAGTGCCGACGGGCTCACTGCAATTCCACAGCTCCAGAACGTGGTTTTGGTTGCGGCTGCGGTTTCTCTTCTTTGAATTCTGGAACAGCACCTATAAGATGTTATTCAAGCAAATGACCTTAATGCTTGGCAGTGAAGGACCACACACAGAATTAATTAATCAGCAGGACAGACTTGCCACCAATTAGACCTATTTGACCAAAATGACTTTAAATGCATTAAGTGGCATGTAAAAGCATAAATCATATTGACAGAATAACAGTCAAACACACATCAATTGTGACTATAAATGTAAATGGTTTGTACTCTCCAAATAAAAGGCTAACTTTCAGATTAGGTTAAAAATACTACTAAACTATAAATATTCATTATAAACAGACCTTCTATATCTGAGCACTTTGTGAGGCCAAGGCTGGGAGTGGTGGATCATGCGTGTAATTCCAGCAAACGTAAAAAAAGCTGAGTGCTTTCAGACTGACCTGTTAATGTCAAAGATAGAAGTGGCAAGGTGCCTATAGTTGATAAATTACTGTATCATATTACCTGTTATGATCCATATGCCCTTCTAAGCAGGATTTTCTCTCAAATATGCCAGAGTTATATAACACTGGGAATATTTGTAATAAAATTTACTTTACATGTGTCCGTACGCACTGATCTTAATCTAGAAATAAAAATCATTGGGAGGCTGAAGTCGGAGGATCACTTGAGCCCAGTAGGTCGAGGCTGAAGTGAGCCATGATCATGCCATTGCTCTCCAGCCTGGGTGACAAAGACTCCATCTCAAAGAGACAACAACAAAAACAACTTAATAGTTATAGGTGCTGTTCTTGAATGTCTATATTCAAGAGTAAGGGTCTTGAATGCAGCCAACTATCCAGGGCATCACTGTTGGAGGCTGATTTTCTTCCAAAGGAAACACCCCGTTTTGTTTCATAAAAACTTCAGATTACCAGATGCAGTCCTTACCGGAGAGTTCAAACAGATAGATTGCTTGAGTGGCTTTAACAATATCATCACTGAGAGAATCCTTAACAATTCTAAATGTTTCTTCCACAGCTCCAGAACGTGGTTTTGGTTGCGGCTGCGGTTTCTCTTCTTTGAATTCTGGAACAGCACCTATAAGATGTTATTCAAGCAAATGACCTTAATGCTTGGCAGTGAAGGACCACACACAGAATTAATTAATCAGCAGGACAGACTTGCCACCAATTAGACCTATTTGACCAAAATGACTTTAAATGCATTAAGTGGCATGTAAAAGCATAAATCATATTGACAGAATAACAGTCAAACACACATCAATTGTGACTATAAATGTAAATGGTTTGTACTCTCCAAATAAAAGGCTAACTTTCAGATTAGGTTAAAAATACTACTAAACTATAAATATTCATTATAAACAGACCTTCTATATCTGAGCACTTTGTGAGGCCAAGGCTGGGAGTGGTGGATCATGCGTGTAATTCCAGCACTTTGGGAGGCCAAGGCGGGCGGATCACTTGAGCCCAGGAGTTCAAGACCAGCCTGGGCAACATGGAGAAACCCTGTCTCTACAAACAATACAAAAATTAGCTGGGCGTGGTGGTCGGTGTCTGTAGTCCCAGCTACTTGGGAGGCTGAGGTGAGAGGATCACTTGAGCCTGGGAGGTGGAGGCTGCAGTGAGCCGAGATCACGCCACTGCACTCCAGCCTGGGTGACAGAGGGAGACCCTGTCTCAAAAATATAAATAAAATAAACAGACCTAAACACAACTACTGGAGTATTAGGGATGATAATCACTCCTTTGTCAATTTCTCTGAGTTCTAAAACCAAATGAGAACAAAAAGACACTGGAATCAGAAAGATGGAAATCAAAATATCAGCTGTGGAATTAGTGGAGCTATACTGGAGACTGTAGCTTGAATCAACACCCAAGTGTGCTTTCTAATCACTCTACCTCTATATTCAATCTATTCACATAGTCCTTTCACCCATGGATTGATCCTGCATCCTCCCATCACAGGTTAGAAATGCTCTGTTAAGTACAGATCATGTAGAAAACTGAGGACAGCCTGCTCAAAAAGAGAATGCTCAGAAGGGTCTGACATACAACCTCAAGTTCTCCCCATCTCACTTATTCAGATTGATCCTCCCAATAGATGAAAAGGGAGGTTAAACTATTAGCCCCCTGACTAACAGGCTGCCTTCTCTGGAAACACTAGGTCACGAGAATGAAGGTTGCCTGCAACATTTTAAAACTTGCATTCACTTAACCCATTGGCTATAACAACTTAACATATGATGTTAAGCCAGGGGAGAAGACAGCAGTTCATAGGACTGCTTTGCTCCCGTATCATGATGCTGCCCCCCAATACTGTCACGGTTTGTGTATTTATTTATTTATTTATTTATTTATTTATTTTTGAGATTTGTCTCAAAATCTCACTTTGTCACCCAGGCTGGAGTGCAGTGACTTGATCTCGGCTCACTGCAACCTCCGTCTCCCGGTTCAAGCGATTCTCCTGCTTCAGCCTCCCAAGTAGCTGAGACTACAGGTGCCCACCACCATGCCCGGCTAACTTTTGAATTTTTAGTAGAGACAGGATTTCACCATGTTGGCCAGGTTGGTCTCAAACTCCTGATCTCAGGTGATCTGCCCACCTTGGCCTCACAAAGTGCTGGGATTGCAGACGTGAGCCACCATGCCCAGCCTCTCTGTTCCTTTATTTATCATCCTAGAATCACATAGGGGCACCTAAGTGGTTGCCCCCAGAAACAGGTAAGAACAATTCATTAATTAAATTAACTCCAAGGCCAATCTGTGCTCTAGGCTGAAGGTGAATCTGTTTCTCAACTCAAATTATACACAGCCATCTTGTCTAATACAACTCCCCAAAGGTTATTAAATGAAATCTAATTGACAGCATAAAGATACTCCATAGTACAAAGTAAGCTATTAATTCATAAAGTATACTGAATATAAATTGCCTTTCATTATGATATTTCCACAAATTTAAAAAAAAAAACCCTTTTCCTTTTAAAAATTAAAGTACAAACAGATATTAGAGATGAAAGCCTTAAAGAATTTCTTTGGCCTGTTTTATTATTGTTTTAAAATTTACTACAGTGTACCCCTTTATTGCCTGCACTGGGGGCTATCCACTTCTCCTGCCTTGCCCTTAGCATGGCGCTGCTTTTTATTGATGTGTAACATACATTCAGAAACAGTGATCAGGTGTATCCAGACCAAAATTTATGTAAGAAAGTGAAAACATCGTGTCATCACCACCTAGGTCAAGAAAGAGGACATTACAGGTCTCCCAGAAGCCCACTCCACAACCCCTCCTAATTGCTAACACCATATATTAGTTTTGTCTCATGTTTATCGTCAAATAAATGGAATCAATCATACAGTATCTATTTTTATATGCCTGCCGAACCTTCAAAACTCTTCCAAAAAAAAATGCAAGAGGAGGGAACACTTTCTAATTAATTACGTGAGGCCAGTTTACCATGACACCAAGCCAGACACAGACATACAAGAAAACTGACTAGGGTAGACAGACAATATGCAAATGCATATACATGCATACATACATAAAATTAAGTCGAGAAGTGATGGGTTCTACTTAAGAATTGGGATAGAATGTAAGAATATTTTAGTTAAGATAGTTTTTGAATAGATACTGAACTAAACAATGTAAGGCTGAATATGTAAATACATACACACGTACATATTTATTCTACAATTTGAAAACATAAAATTGGCCAGTAGTTCATCTTCACCAGTTAAATTTGAAAAAGGTATTCCCCATGCTTCAACGATAACACCTAATACTTTCTAACCTTTGCAGTGCTTATTTGAGCAAGGCCACTTCCCAGTTACTTTCCAAGTGTACACCAGTGTAAGTGAATGGGACACATTACTATTAATATAAGGTATTATTATTTAGAAGCCAATTTTAAAATTGAGCTATGAATTCCAATGTTTATCTATTTATTTATTTATTGTTTTTTGAGACAGGGGCTTACTCTGTCACCCAGGCTGAAGTGCAGTGGTACAATCAAGGTTCACTGCAGCCTCAACTTCCTGAGTTCAAGCTTCCTGAGTAGCTGGGACCACAGGCATGTGCCACTATGCCCAGCTAATTTTTTGTATTTTTTGTAGAGATAGGGTTTCACCATGTTGGCCAGGCTGGTCTCGAACTCCTAGACTCAAGCGATCCACCCGCCTCAGCCACCCATGACTGGGATTACAGACATGAGCTACTGCACCCGGCCTCAAAAAGTTGTTTTTGAAGACATGGAGAACATTCACAATAATTAAGTAATGTTAAATTAAATGAGAATCTATGCAATTAAACATAATATAAATAAAGCTTCTTTAAAAAAAAAAAAACACACTGTGAACCTACTGGTAAAATATTTATTTCTGGGTATACATTTTAAGTTATATGTGCCAAAAAAAAAAAAAACACACAAAATATTTATTTCTGGGTATACATTTTAAGTTATATGTGCCAAAAAAAAAAAAAACACACAGTGGTTGAAAGGAAATAAGCCAAAATATAAATGTACTTATAATTGGACTACAGGTACTTTAAATTTTTTTCTTTGAGCTGTTCTAGACAGTCTTGCTGTGTCACCCAGGCTGGAGTGCAGTGGCGTGATCTCAGCCCACTGCAATCTCCACCTCCCAGGTTCAAGCGATTCTGGTGCCTCAGCCTCCCAAGTAGCTGGGATTACAGGCGCATACCACTGCACCCAACTAATTTTGTATTTTTATTTGAGACAGGGTTTCACCGTGTTGACCAGGCTGGTCTCAAACTCCCGACCTCAGGCGATTCGCTCACCTCAGCCTCCCAAAGTGCTGGGATTACAGGTGTGAGCCACTGCACCTGGCCTGTTCTATACTTTTTTATACTTCTGTATTAAGCTTTTCTTTTCAAAAATGTTTTTAATTTTTAATGTTTTAAATTTTTTCTATTTGTAGTGATAGGGTCTCGCTATGTTGCCCAGGCTGGTCTTGAACTCCTGTCCTCAAATGATCATCCCACCTCTGTCTCCCACAGTGTTATGATTACAGGTGTGAGCCCCTACATCCTGCCCGTACTAAGCTTTTCTATACAGACTAATTTAAAATGCTATCAAAATTGAGTAAAGTATATAACAAAATTGATTGGCTGTAGCCAAAACTATGTTAAGGGGATAAATGCACAAACTTTATTTCATTATTTTAAAAGAAATAACAATAAAGTATTAGCCCAACAAGTAAGAACAGGAACAAAACCGACCTCAAAGAAAGGAGAAAACAACAAAGCAAAAGTAAAAAAAGTGAGGTATCAGATGGTTGCACAATTCTGGGAAGATGCCAAAAATCATTAGACACTTTCAAATGGTGAATTTTTTTTTTTTTTTAAAACAGAGCTTCACTCTGTCGCCCCATCTGGAGTGCAGTGACATGATTTTGGCTCACTGCAACCTCCACCTCCCAGGCTCAAGTGATTCTCCTGCCTCAGCCTCCCGAGTAACTGGAATTACAGACGTGCACCACCACACCCAGCTAATTTTTTGTATTTTTAGTAGAGACAGGATTTCGCCTGTTGCCCAGGCTGAACTCCTGAGCTCAGACAATCCGCCTGCCTCAGCCTCCCAAAGTGCTAGGATACAGGCATGAGCCACCGTGCCCGGCCTAAAATGGTGAATTTTTTGGTGTATGTAAGTTATATCTCAAGTTGTTTTTAAAAGGATAATGAATCAGAAAAGAGAAAACCTGTAGAATTAAACATGAAATAAAATTTAAAATCTGGTGCTTTTGAGAAAAAAAAATAAGATACTATAAAATAAGCAACTGATCAAGAAAAAAGAAAAATAATTTTTAAAACAGAGGAAAGAGGCCAGGTGCAGAGGCTTACACCTGTAATCCCAGCACTTTGGGAGGCTGAGGTGGGTGGATCACCTGAGGTCAGTAGTTTGAGAACAGCCTGACCAACATGGTGAAACCCCGTCTCTACTAAAAATACAAAAATTAGCTGGGCATGGTGGCGGGTGCCTGTAATCCCAGCTACTCAGGAGGCTGAGGCACGAGAATTCCTTGAACCTGGGAGGTGGGGGTTGCAGTGAGTCAAGATAGCAC